ATTTATATTTATTTATTTATTTATTTATTTATTTATATTTATTTATTTATTTATTTATTTATTTATTTATATGCAGGTGTCTCCTTCTCAGTGTCCCCCTGGCCGTGCTCCTGGTCCCCTTTTTGTTTTTTTTTTTTTTTCTGTTTTCTCTCTTTCTTTCGTTTTTTCTCTCCTTTTTTCTTTCTTTCTTTTTTAATTAAATAATATAATAAACTTTATATTTATTTATTTATTTATTTATTTATTTATTTATTTATTTATATACAGGAGTCTCCTTCTCAATGCCCCCCCGGCCGTCCCCCTCGTCAGAGAGACCTATTGGTGTGTGGGGTGTTGGTAGATAGAGTGAAGCCAGGAGACAGTGTAGAGGTGTTGGGTGTCTGTACACCTGAAATATGTATAAAAGGAGACAAAACAAACCCAATAAAAAAAGAAAAAATAATAAACAACAACAGTAATCATAATTTCCCTATAATAAAAACACAAATACTTGTAAATAATATACTTGTATCGAGAGAAGAAATAACAAAACAAATAACACAAAAAGATATATATATTATACATGAGCTGTCTAGACACCCCAATATAAGAGAAAGAATCATTGCTTCTATTGCGCCTACACTCTGTGCCTCTAAACAAATAAAAACAGCAATTGCTTATTGTTTATTTGGTGGGGTACCGAAAGGGAGAGATATATCTTCTGCTTCTTCTTCTTCTTCTGCTGCTGCTGCTGTTGCTGCTGCTGCTGCTGCTGGGGGCAGTGCTGCTGCTGCTGCTGCAACACATGCGGCACATACACATACTAACACTTCTGCTGCTGCTGCTGCTGCTGCTGCTGCTGCTGCTCATGGAGAAGAAGCAAAACACACAGCAGGGCAGCATGTCATCAGAGGAGACATCAATGTACTCCTACTGGGTAAGTCTCCTGCTGCTGCTGCTGGTGGTGCTGCTGCTGGTGCTGCTGCTGCTGGTGGTGGTGCTGCTGGTGGTGGTGGTGCTGCTGGTGGTGGTGGTGGTGCTGCTGCTGCTGGTGCTGCTGCTGCGGCGGCGGCGGCAGCGAAGTGCTGCTGCTGCTTCTGCTGCAGCAGCAAAGTGCTGCTGCTGCTGCTGCTGCTGCTGCTGCTGCTGCGAATGAAGGGCATCCTGTTGTAGAAACTGTGTCCTACATAAACTGTCTCCTTTGCTGTTGTTTTCTTTTGTCTCCTTTTGTCTCTTTTTTCTCTCTTTTTTTCTCTTTTTTTCTCTTTTTGTCTCTTTTTTTCTCTTTTTTTTTGTCTCCTTTTGTCTCCCTCTACTGTCTCCTTCTACTGTCTCCTTTCTGTCTCTTTTTGTCTCTTTTTTTGTCTCCTTTTACTGTCTCTTTTTTTGTCTCCTTTTTAGGTGATCCTGGGCTGGGTAAATCCCAGGCGCTGCAGTATACGTATATAAATATATTTACATATTTTGTCTCCTTTTGTCTCTTTTTTTCTCTTTTTTGTCTCTTTTTTTCTCTTTTTTTCTGTCTCCTTTTGTCTCCTTCTACTGTCTCCTTTTGTCTCCTTTTGTCTCTTTTTTTGTCTCTTTTTTTGTCTCCTTTTTAGGTGATCCTGGCCTGGGTAAATCCCAGGCGCTGCAGTATGTGGCCCGCACCTTCCCCCGCAGCATCTCCACCACCGGCAAGGGGGCCTCTGCCTGCGGTCTTACAGCAGGGGTTAGAAGGTAGGGTTTAGGGTTTAGGGTTTAGGGTTTAGGGTTTAGGGTTTAGAGTGTTTAGGGTTTAGGGTTTAGAGTGTGTAGTGTCTGTGTGCACCGGCAAGGGGGCCTCTGCCTGCGGCCTTACAGCAGGGGTTAGAAGGTAGGGTTTAGGGTTTAGGGTTTAGGGTTTATCTCTTTATACATATATATATATATATATATATATATATATATATATATATATATATATATATATATATATA